AGGGTTAAGTCCCCATAATATTATATAAAATACAAGTTTATGTGACTAAACTGAATATTTGAAGACCCTATAATGTTATTCATTTTGCAAACTTTGCAGCCTAATTTAAATAATAAGACACAGGCTTTAAAATATTAGTCATTCTGCAAAATGTCCCAAGTCATTTAAATATTAAGTTTAAGTCTCTACAATAATAAATAAAACAGTAATTTGCTGATTAGATAATGAAGATGTTGTGTTTGCTGTATTGCAGCGTCCCTGACAGGAAACAGATGAGAAGGTCGTGCATGTGGAGCATCTGTTTCATGAAGGACACCTGTTTTGTTCTGTTTTGTGCATTTCTACCTGGTGATGGAGAACGTGCAGTGGACTCCCCAGTGGTTGCTGGTGTAGCGGCCGCACTGCAGCTTCTCCAGGCCGACTAGAGCCATGCTGTCGGGCTCCAGCCGCGGGAGTCCGTCCTGGACGGGCCGCTACAGGTAGACCTGGTCGAACCGAAGGCGACACTTGAAGCGGACCTCCTTGTTGGTGTTGACCTGAATGTCCCGGGTGTAGCGGCAGCTCTCGGGCTCGCCCAGCTGCTCCAAGATATTGCAGACGCTGCTGGGGAGCCCCACTTTGGCCACCTGGGAGAAAAGAGCCACGAGTTAGTGTGTGAGTTGTTTATGTCAGAGACGGCAGGACAACAAAGGTGAGGAGTGATGGGTCCTGAAGTATCTGTACCTCCTGCTATGTGGACAGTCGAAATGTAGATGCGTGAAACCTGCATCTTATTGATAAAGCTCTTGGAGATATTAAATTAAACACCCCACTCTGATTTTAACTCAAAATGTACGACAATAATTGGATTTTATTGGATTAATTGCAGTTCGCTATTATTAAAAATGGTTTTCTGCTTGATTTCAGGTGGATAATCTCAAACAACATGACAATCATTCTTTAATTCTACCTTAAAATGCTCCAAAGTCTCTAATCAAGGTGAAAACTCACTAGATTGTTGCATATTAGGTTATTTTCAGCCAGTTTTAAATGGGTTTAAGGCTAAATTCAAGCGTGCATTTCGTTGTTCTTGGGTTTTCTTTTAATCTTCTAAATGCCAAATGAGGTTTTTGTCAAATGCCAGCCAAATATTGATCAATTATTTACTTTATACTTCATAGTGAGCTCACAATACAGCATGTGTATTTTAAGACTGATTTTAATTAACTAATAAACAGATTGTATCACGTTAAGGTGCTTTAAATGGGGTTTAGACACTTCTTAAGAGGGTTTTAGGAGTAAATACATTTATAAATGTAAGCCATCCACTAAGATTTTCCCTAAAATATTTTAAACTCTCCATGAAGGCTGCTGACAGCGACTCATCTAAACTCCAAGGTCCGGCATGGCGCGCGGTGGAAGGAAGGGTTGCTAGCAGGCTAATGCTAACACTTGCTTTCATGGAGCCAGCTGATGCTAGCTGATGTCTGCACCTGCTGAGGGACATTTTCTCACCAGGTGTGCTTTTCCTAGTGATGAACAACTTTCCAATGTCCATCTCCACAAGAAAAAGACGGCTGTTTGTCCTTAAACCAAAGATAAAGTCCTGGGAAGCTTCACGGCAGCCATTTTGCTAACAGCCGAGGCAGCTATTTCCGGCTAAAAGGCCCAGACTCTGATATAAATAAATGAGAAAAGAGCTATAATTACAATTTCAATGCTCGGCGGGACATAAATACGGTTTTTTAAGAATCAGCAGTAAAAGGTTTGGTGACTTTGCTCGAAAATAAAGTTTAAACAGCGTTTACACCTCCACTACGCATGCGCAGTTTTACTACCCCCGCGGTTGAATCCGTACAGCAACATGATTGGCTGGACGTTTCCGGGTTCCGGCTTTGGCGAGTACATGATTGGCTGTTTCAGGGGAAGAGGCGGGACATGTGTCATACAACTGCCTGCTCATTATTCTTCATTCATTCTTTAGATTTCTATTTAGAAACATTCATATAGAATTATATTCATGTATGTATGTATGATATAGAATCTGTGGACAGCTACCAGCAGAGGGTGCTCTGAGACCATGATATCAGAAACTGTGCCAGTTCTTCATCCAACAGTAAAAGTATTGCACGGTAGATTAATGGTACAGATATGTTTAGATAAAGCACAAATATATGCAATAATAAAAATTACTTTTATGAAGCACAAAAGCAAATGTGTGTTTCCTCATCTTTTATGGTGAATTTGCGTCTCTTTGCAGTCGTCTTGCACCTTTTTGTTGCTGCTTTGTGTCTCTTTGTGGTTACTTTACGGCTTATTGCAGCCAGCTTAAGTGTTTTTGTGGGAATTTTGTGTCTCTTTGTAATGAATTTGCTTCTCTGTGCTAATTTTGAGTCACCTGGTTGCCTTTTTTTGTACCTTTGTGCTGGTTTTGTATCACTTTGTGGTTGTTTCGTGTCTCTTTGTGGGCATTTTGTAGTAAATTAATGTCTGTTTGTGTTGTTTTTTTAAAATATTGCATCTCTGTGCTGATTTCTAAGTCTCTTGTTGGTCAGTTTGTGTCTCTTTGTAGTCTTTTCTTGTTATTTCATGACTTGCTCAGGAGATTTCACCCCTCTTTATAGTAACTTTCCATCAGTCTGTGGTCCTTTGTGGTCACTTTATCTCTCTTTGTGGTCGTTTTGTAGTATTTTGTGGCATCTCCTCAGGATATTTCACAGGTCATCTTCATCTTAAAAACACTGTCAGACAGGAAAATAAAGCAGCAACACACAGCTCATTTCCATATAATTTAATTTCAAAAATAAATCTTTTTAATATCTCTTCACCCATAACAATAATAATAATAATAATAATAATAACTTCATATTGGATTTTCTGTAAACAAACAATATTTAAATACTCTCTATCATTTATTCTAAAATCTCTGTGTTAAAGCAGTACGTTACATACATTTGTTGAAGGAAAAACAACATTTCTTCTTTCGCTGAGAGCACAGCATCCCTGTGGACTTCACTATGAAACCAAATCCCTTAAAATGTCGCCCTGATGTCACTGAATGTTTGGATGACTATTAAAGTATTGATTCAGCTGAACATCAGCAGGTTTAGGGAGTTGTTGTCGGATAAAAACATCAAAACTAACCAATAACTTTCCCTTAATTTATATTTTGATCTTATAAAAAGAAAGAGGATTCATTTAAGGTTGGAACTTAGATTCATGCTCAGATGCAAACTAATCAAATGTAAGAGGATTCTCACTCAGTGTTCATGTTTTTAAAAAGTTAACATTTAGTAAAATCACATTATATTGAATAGTTTCATGGCTTCAAGTGACAAAAAATATGAAAGTCACCCATTAATTTACAACAGACGTGAGAAGTGATGCTTCATGGCATTCGGTAAACGTTTTTTACTCCATAAATTTCCCTTAATTTATGAAGAAAAAACCTTAATTATCATCCATCAATTTAACCATTTCCAATGAAGTCAGATCAATATGTCTGATAGGATGTTACTGGTGTTATTGATCGTGGTATGTTGTGGCGTCTTACCTGCACATTGGAATAAAATAACATTTAAAAGGACCAAATAACACAATCTCTCGATTTATAACTTAACAGTGCTTTAAATTAGAACAATAATTACTCCTGATCCATGACGTGAAGCCCATTGATTAACTGCTTCAAACAAATACGGGTTCCACCTATTAAAGACAAATATTATCGTCTAAATGTCTCAGACCAGCAAACCATCATTAAAAAGACCTGAACTGATAATGAGTGTGTAAATTTAAGGGGAAGTCTTGTGAACTTTAAACTCAGGACGTTTCAGGAGCAGACTTTAAGGGTTTTTGGCTTCATAGTGTTTCTCAGGATGCAGTCGTCACCAGAAGTGATGAAAACTTCGGCTCTCACTGGTTCAACTCTGTCTCTGTTTGTTATTTTGGAAAAACTCGTCTGTGTCCCGTCACAGTTCTGTTTCCTGCTGAATCTCCCATCAGGCCTCAGCAGGAGCCCGGACATCTCCCGAGGTTCCTCCTGGTCCTGTTCAGGTTTGGGTTTGTGGGTTTCAGGTTGATTTTTGTCAGTTTTTCCTGTTTCCGTCTCACCTGTCGCCCTGAGCGACGCCCAGCGGGTGGAGGCGTCCTGAGTCCAGCAGCTTGGTCCCCAGCCAGTGTAGGAGCTGAGAGTACCAGTGGATCCCGTCGCCGTGGCCCCCAGCGGACCCGGTCCAGCTGTGCAGCAGCCTCAGCGGGGCGAAGGCCCAGTGGGCCAGGGAGTGCTGGTCCAGCACGGCGTAGCAGGACGCCACCACGCCATCCACCACCACCGTCCCCTGTCGGGTCAGCGGCGCGAACGCCCCCGTCCTCTCCGTCACGCTGACCCGGCTGATCCGAGACAGTCGGCCCCCCCTGGGCCTCCGACCCGCCTCGCCCTCTGACACCAGCACACACTGTCCCGGCCGGGTGTCGCTGGCGTACGCGGTCCTGAGGGCGCCACGGGTCGGCTCCGCCCCCTCTGAGCAGTTGCCCTCGGACACAAACAGCAGGTGGGCGGCGGTGAGGGCGAGCTGCGCCCCGGATTCTGTCTGCAGGCGGTAGAAAAGTCTCGGGGTCACCGGGTCGCGGTCCAGGAAGGTCAGGACTTCGCTGAACACCAGCTCGCCGCCGCCGTCGCTGCCTGATGTGGCCAGGACTCGCTCACCGGGCCGCAGGTCGCTGACGGGCTTCTGGCCGCCGCCCTCCACTGTGACCGAGGCGTCGCCGGGGAAACAGCCTCCGGACTTCGCCGCCACCGAGTGGTCTGAGGAGGGACGGAGACAAAGAGACAGGAGGGTTAGATAAGGAGAGCAGCGCTGCTTCAAAAGAAAACACGTCAGGAACCATCAAAATGTCTGAACAGACCGAGATGGAAACAGATCACAGATATTTAATGTCATAATTCAGACTTTTGATCAAAAGGCAGAACTTTGATTTTTAATGTCACCATCTGTGCATTTTTGTTAAAATGTTAGAACTTTCACTTCATATTTCATAATTATGAAAGAAAAAAATCCAAATATAAACTTGATGACGTAGTAAAATAATTTTATTCACCACATTTGAACAAAAGTTTCTAAAATCTTTGACTTATGGCTTCTTTATTGTCGCATTGTTGGGTTTAAAGTCATACTTCTGACCTGTTCTGTCACACTTTTGACTGTCTCATCATTCTGAGACACTGTAAAGAAAAAAATACATTTTTATACAGTTTTTATATTAATTTTTTTTGCACTCTGTTTAAAAACTTTTTTTTTGTGTAATTTCATTTTTTTGAGCATTTAAATCAGCTAAATGTAGAATTATTGTTTGACAGATAATTGTTGTTGTTTTAAAGAGAAAATCATATATATTTAGGACTGATCATTAATTTTACGTTCTGTCACAGTTCCAGCTGTTTCTGAACATTACATTATTCCAGAGCTGTTTTTTTTAAACAGATTTTTTTCTTGCATACTTGTTGACGGAACAGAAGCGACTTAGTTTCACATAATTTTGAAATAAAAAGAAGGATTTTTGGTCCATTTCTCATCATTTAGAAAAGAAAAAGTCATAACTGTGATGAACTCTCGTAACATTTCATCTGGTTTTGTTGTTTCTTGGCAGCAATGAGCTTCCGTACCAACGCGCTGCACACAATAAAGCTCTTCGACTCCCTCTGGCTAAATATTGACTTTTTTCTCTCCGACGCTGAACATAAAGGAACAATAACGGAGCTGCCAGATAAACGCTCCCGTTCGCGGCCCTGAATAAATGCGTACGTGTGTTTGTAGTCGCGAGTCCAGGTGGGACTGTGCTCGTGACAATGAGTCCAGACACTTGAAAGTGACACTCGAGGCGAGTCTCAAGTCTATCTGGGATAAATATTTGGGGAAGGTAGGACAGCCAAGGCCAGGTGATAAGATAAGTCACCTGGAGGAGGAAGGAGCAGGGCAGGAAAGCCAGCCGCCGGTTAATCATCACAGCATCACATGACTCCAGAGCAGCTTTGAAACTCAGACTGGAAACGTGATGCTCTGATTTACAGGAAGTTAGTTTACTGTGAGTAAAGGGAAAAACACTCAAGTTTATGTCCTAGCATAAAGAACAAAATATAAAACAGATCAAATTATGTTTTAAATCAACATACGGTAAAATAAACCAGCTTCGTTTGTGTTTTTCATTATTTTTATAATTAATTTTTAAGGGAAAATTAAACATTGGCTTCATGTCTCCAAATCCTGGTTTAGTTTGTTAAAACTTTTAGTTATTATATTTATTTTATGATGTTTTTATAAAACTTGTGTCTATTTCCAGCTTTAACCATTTTACTTCCAAAAACTTTAAATTAATTAAAAGTTAGACTTGCAATGAAATTTTTAAATATTTTCATTTTATCATTTTGACTCATAAAATCAAAATTTTAAATTTGTTTTTAACCAAAATCCTGTTTTTGTGTTTCCTATTTGCCTTCATTCCAAATGTGGTAGACAGATAAAATACAAAAACATGTTTTAAAATTTAAAAAATAATCACATTTCTTTCAAACTCTAAAATATATGTATTTACACGTATATTTAGATATTTTAAAAATGTTTTTACAGATCATATTAAGCGTCTATTACATGTTTCGGGGCTTTTATATTGAATTTTTATCTAAAAAAAACAACAACACAAATTAAAAATGCAAGAAAATTTCATCTGAACAGTTACCGAAAACTAAATTAAAACAGATTTAAAATATATAATCCAAAGTTTGGGGTCAAATGACCAAAAGTTATAGATAAACAGTAATTAGTAAATATTTGAAACAGAAAACCAGAAGCAACAGAAAACTAGTGCGAAAGTTAAAAGAAAAAACAAGAGATAAAAGGTTGAAATCAAACATAATTTATAAGCTCTAAGTCATGGTTGTGTTATTAGCTCAGAGATAAAGAGGCTTAAATTAAAGTTATGGTTAAAGAGTTAAACCTGTTAACAAATGATGGACAAAACGCTAAAAGCACTGAACATAAGGGGTTAAATGTTGAAATCGTTAGTGGAATATAAGGAATAAATCGCTGAAAAAGCAGAAAATTAGGAATAAATTGCTACAAAAGCTGAATATGAGAGCTGAAATGATGAAACGTTAGTGACATGTGATAAAAAATGAGTGAAAAAGCAAAACGTGACGATAACTTAAAGCTATGAGTTAAGACTCGCAGCATCCAGGATGGAACCAGAGAACTACAGGAACCAAATAATCGGTTCAATTAATCAATAAAGTTAACAGTGGGATCAATAATTTCAGTTTTCAACATCAGAACATTAAAAAAACGTCCCTTTTCTCTCGTCATTACCTTCCTAACTGTGTTCCTGGATGGAGCTCAGCTGCAGTCTGAGGTGAAATGTGTCGTCAGTGTTAATATTCTCCGTTTGTTCCCACGTTTGCCTGTTTTCAGTCCAGTCCGTCATCTACTGCTGCCCCCTAGTGGTTGCTTCCTCTTGCTGCCTACAGTCCAGCCGCCCCTTTAAAGCGCCTTTAAGACGGATTTGTCGGCGAAGAGCTCATCGGTTACAACTTTTCCTCAGCTGGCCGGATTTATCTTCCAAAGAACGATTTCTTTTCTTGTTTTTGAGGAATTTTGAGGGAACAAAAATTAAAAATAAAAATAAAAACAGGAGAAAAAAAAAGGAGGGGAAATCAAAAACGTGGAAAAAAAAATACCAACTTGATTGGTTGCCCTTCTGATCAAGTCAAGGACTGGGCCCTCGCAACCCGATCTGGGAGGGAAGAAGAGAGGAAGAGGAAGGGAAAGGAGAGGAAGCAGGAAAAGGGAGAAAGAAAAGGAAAATCTCAGTTACCACTCAGTGTAAAATGTGTCAGCGGGCGTTTAAAGTGGCTGTTTCATTCTGATGCATTTTAACAAGAGGGCGAGACTTTCAGCACACATGTGTGTCCACCTCTGGGTCACACACTTGTGTTACTTTTCATGCTAACTGCACATTTTTCTCAAAGCACACCTAAAGAACAGGTCGGACTTTGACGTGTACAATCGAAAAACAACCGTCTGTACGTCTCATCAGGATCCAGACTGGAGTCGGTCTAACTGTTACGAACTGCGGTTCCACCAGAAGCCCTTGAAACTTCTCAAGGAACCTTCAGAGAACCTGTTGTCACATTTACATCGTGGTCAAGAAACCATTTAGAAGCTAAAAAACTCAATTGTAGATGGCCCTTCCCTCTGCGGGTTCCTACTGCTTTGCTCAAGGAGGCCTGGGTTTGCTTGTCGGACCATCTGTCAGAGGTTTTCTTCTGTAGCTACGTGTTGTTGTTTCATCGCACATCAACAAAACTAATGAGCTTATCTTCTGTTGCAGGTTTCGTAACAACCACTAAAGTTCTCAAACAATCCCCAACACTCTTGTTCCTTCAGAAAGCAGCAGGAAGTCGCGGCAGGTACGAGGTGGCGCAAACGTTTACAGGAACACCCTGAAAGCTTTCGGTTTCCAAGAAAGTGTTGAATCCAACAGCTTTGACTACAACGTTAACTTACAGTGCCCCAAAACAACGTTACCAGCCCCACGAGTAAGTAGGAAACAGAACAATAGAGGCTTGTTGAGGAGGCCTATATGGTGAATCTAACGTTGCTGGTAGGGATGTTTTCGAGGAAAAGATTGCAGCTCAACCAATTATTGTCGAGACCTGCACAGGAACTTTTTTTCCCACTGAAAACAGTCCTGAGAGATGTTCTAGACGAGGTTCTTGTGGTTGGAACACGATCAAAGGTTCAGGTTGCCTTAAAAGGGCCTGTAAATTTCTACAGTGGAAATGGGTTTGAGAGGACCATCATCCATCCATCCA